TTGGGCACCAAATCGCACAGATCTGCTAATTTGACTTTTAGGAATTGATAAAACGTATGGTTTTCTCAAAATAACCTTTGCGTTTGCAAGTTGATTACCACGGTTAGCATCGGACATAAAAAAATTTCAAGTCCAACTTAATCTGTTTATTAAATCTCTCGCGGGCAAATACTGTCCTTTCAATGAAAAAGTCGCTCAAATGCGTAACCGGAGTCTAGGACATGTATTAGCATAGGAGATTGCACGAATATATTCCAACGTCCATTTTCGCTAAAATTTACTGATATTTTACTTGGTATAATTACGCAAACACGATTTCTGCGCAAGAAAAGGACATTTTATTAAAGGAAGTGGATGGGCAAACAAAATGCTCAACTTTCAAGGCGTCCAGAAATTCTCTCATCAGATTCCGTTATCAGATTTCATAAGATAGGCCACGTACTGTATATTATTACATTGTTTTGATTGCAAATGCAATCTCATACCAGAGTGAGGGATGACTGTTCGACAGCCGTAAGCGACAACGTCCACCGTGACCACCACCGAGTGAGCGCAGCATCGATGACTTGCGCAGCATTTACTGCACCCCCTTCCTCTCTCATCTACTAACCGCTGATGTTGAAAAAATATCAAAAAAGTCAAAGGCGCGCTCGGGCCGACAACGACAAACAGGCCATCTACGCGTGCCGCGCGCAGCCTGGTTCCCGCGTAGTGAATTCGAGGTAGATGGGGCAGCCGTGAGTCTTGTTCAAAAACTCGGTACTGCATAACCCCCCCCCCGGACTTTCAGCACCCTTTCCTGCCAGCGTATAGCACCGCTCCCTAGGCGCTGTTCTCTCATGTCCGGCGATGAGTACAGTACGAGCATGCGAGTGCCGGGCTAACTTCCTCATGTACACACTGCAGTATGTGGGCTGGAATGATTGTCTTTGAATTAGCCGTCACCTAACTTTTCATCCAAATCCTTTTCGCTCGGTTTGACAAAGTGGTCAAGTCGCATGAATGGAGATGATAGCAGGTGAGGGGGGGGGGTTCATTAGTCGTTCATAGACTGCATGCTTTGCAATAATTGTTCGCTAAATGAAGAACGGGTAAAGGCAAGTAGTCAATCCCTCAATGAGGGAATAATAGCTTTATTTTGTAAGATGCGGTTATGTAGCCCCATCTGATGGGCATAATACCGCTGGTGTTAGGATTAGGGGCCAGTGTAAGGAGTTAGGGTAAAGGGTCAAGTTTAGGGGTTAGGGTCAGGATTAGAGGTTAGGGAAGCTATTTTTCAACCACTCAAAGTACAACCGCGCATTTTCAATAGCTTCCCTTTTGCATACAACTACTTGAACTCGTCGCCTGTGCCTTCCCCGGTCCCACCTGCAATAACAGGTGGCTGGCGTTTGCTACATAATCACATCTGATCCCTTATTCGCCTGACGTCTCGGATTCACGCTCAAACCCATAATCAGAGACAGGGAAAGATACGGGTGACTCGTGTACAGCGACTGCATCCTATGAATACTGCAACTTTCTGGCCACAAATCACCCGTATCTGTCACTGTTCGCGCGAGAATCCGAAACGCCAGGCAAATAAAGCTCTTGTTCCCGCGATCGCCTCCACTTCCTATAGATATATATTATCTCCAAAAGCCACATCTATGGAGGCGGACGGAACTACAACAATGCTGAAAAGAATTGGCATGCAGGTGGGGAGATATCCGCAAATTGTGCTGGTCTGCGTTGACACATTGGAAATGCATGGTACAATTCAGCTAACCAAAAAATGTGCGTTTTAATTCGAGTGATGATTATTTAAGATATAGACATGCTCTAAGTGGACCAGCGGGTACAACTCGACTGGCTATTCTACTTAAGACTCAAAAAACTGAACTGGGATCCCGCACACGGTCGACGAAATTCAGCTGACACCGGCCTTAACCAATCTGCATGATTAAAAATACGAATTATTGGCTCTCACACCTATAAATCCCACAAGTTTTTGCATAGCAACACGAGACCGATCGTTAACAGATTATTGGAACAGGAGATGACGACCGTATTAAGCACTTCAACTTGTGTGAATTAAATTTGGATGTCGTTTTACGTCCTGCGTATACGGTCTCTGGCTCATACTCTGTCGAGTGTGGTCTTGGCCGTGGAGTTCAGATGGTAGATATTTTGCCGTTTCGTGTATGGGGCTTTACATCGTTAAATGACTTTTGTTTTGCGTAAGAAGTCAGTTTTCCACTGCAGACTGTATGTTCCGCAGGCCACGTCAATGCTTTTATTGTCACAAACAGGCAGAGGTTCTAATGCAGACGTGAAGAGTGTGGTTTCCTTTCTAATAACTGCATTTCTGCATTACCCTTTTCTTGAAGGACTGTGAGGTTTCTTCACAAGACACATCTAGAGCGTACCTCCGTGAATTTAGTTGTCGAATATCTGCCCCCGTAAGTAGATCTAAATTGCTGAAGTAAAGGCTATTCATGCGACCATACTGATGAAAGTGTTGAGAGGTTCACGAGCTATAGTTGATCCTCTGGCCGCACCTTTGCGCTGACACTTCTGACATAAGTGTTGAACTCTGCGCATACACCCCACGTTTCTGGGATAATGTTTAAGTTTGAATCAGCACTATGGCAGCAGTCGGAAGGAGACTCGAAGTAGCTCTTACGGGGAGTCACCCTAGCTGAACCAAAGGAGTTTTTGGCGTGGTTTGGTTCTACAGCCTCACTTATGATCAGCTTCCTAAAACAATTTTATTAGATGCGAGTACGATGACTTTACAAATATCACGTATCTGTATCTTCCGTACCATTTTAATCCCACGATTGACCCTGCCACGGGAGGGGGGGGGGAGTGCTTCTACGCCAGCCTCGGTTACTGTAGTTATCAGTTCACACGTACATCCCTCCGCGTGGTTCGAGCCCTGCTTACGCTCTCTTCATTATCCTTACCCAGCGAGCGGTCAAGTAAACTTATTAATGGAATTGTTCGGACAGTGTGGAACTCCGTCGGCTTCACTACAGTGGCCATGCACTACGAAGTACCGCGCGGTTCCCTCCGTAGCCTTCCAGTTTTGATTGCACCCCCCTTCTCCTCTTAATCCAGCGGGTGGATGTGTCGCGGGAAGAGTGTGAACACGTAGCGGCTAGATCGCAGTTGGTAGCCAGGCCACGTATTACAGGTGGCTGGGGGGGTTTGTTTACTGAGACTTTTTTGTGGGGCTCCATAATCACATCTGACCCATTTGGCTTCCGTTTTACGTTTGAGGTTAAAATTAGGGTACCGGTTGATTGTTTCCGATTTTTGGTTATCGTCATGCCTTTAGGCTTAGGTTTTCGGGTTACGGTTAGGGTTTGAGCGTACGAATAGGTTTCAGCATTACTGTTAGGCTTCTCAGTTACGGCTATTTCTGGGGACAACGGTTACGTTTACGATTTCGGTTAGGGTTACGGTTTTCGTTAGGGTTAACGGTTACCGCCTAAGGTTGAGGTTAGGGTTAAGGTCGCCGTCCGCTTCCCCATTCCTGGCTACCAACTGCGATCCAACCCACGTCGCTTTGACGCGCTTTCCTGCGCGTGCTTCGAGCTCGGCTAATGCTCTCCTTCCCTTCCTTATTTAGCGGGTGGTTAAATTAGGTATGCTACCTAAGCTGACCATATGGTATCAGTCAGTTGGGGCGGCAGAACCAAACCTACTCGCAAAATGTTCCTCACAGTGGTAACTTTTTGCGAAAGCGCAGGAAAAACTGACCTCCCATTGACCCAGGAATGCAGGCAACAGAAAAATCCTCCACCCCTTCACATGATACAGTGACATCCTACCAGTTCAACCCAGCGCTGGTGAAAATGCCGACATATCAGCACAGCGGGAGGCTTGCCGATGTGTAAAACAAAGCCTAGAGAGGTTTGATCCTACAGCCCCACCTGGTAAGAAATTGGAGTAGATGTGAGTACGCATCTTCCCTACAATTTTAATTCAGCGAATTACTGTGCCACGGGGGAGGAGTGTTTATACGCCAGCCTCGGTTACTTCAGACATCAATTCACACGCGCTTCACTGCACCTGCCTCTGGCCCTGTTTGCGCTGCCTTTATTATCCTTACCCAGCGGGTGGCTTGCTAATGTCATTGTCTGTCGGTTCAATTATGGTGGTCATGCACTGCGAATCGCCACACGGTTCCCTCCGTGGCCTTCCAGTTTTGGTTGCACCCTCCTTGTCCCCTTAATCTAGCGGGTGGCTGTGTCGCGGGGAGAGCGTGAACACGCCGCTTTCACGCGCTTCACCAAGGCGTGCTTCGAGCTTTGCTTGTGCTCCCTTCCCCTTCCTAATGCAGCGATTGGTTAAGATAGTTATGCTACCTACTATTGTTTTAGTAAGCTAACCATATGGTATCACTCAGGTGGGGCAGCAAAATCAAACCTCGCCGACCGCGATTACCAATTTTGAACTATTGTGGTCTCAGTGTATTTTGAGCTGGGCCTGCGAAGCAAAGCTCGGAGATGCGGAAGAGTGATAGTTACATAAGTGAAGAAGAAGAGTCGAGCATCAGAACACTTTGTGGTTAACAAAAATCGTTTTAGGAAGCTAACCATTTGGTATTAACGAATTGGGGTTGCAGAATCAAACCTCACCGAGCTTTTTCTCAGAAGAAAAGAAGGTGTTATACCTGCAACTATGCAGATAAGGTGGTGTCGTCGAAGCCGAAGTACACTGGGGTGGCCGTTTCTGACTTATTAGTCGTCGGCAGTCAGAGTTAGTTGGCGGCGGAGAGGACGAGGAAGAGGCGGGCGGAGGGACGGCGGTTGGTGCAGTATGGGAGGTGCAGCTGGTCCGAAGGTGTCCAATGAGTCCAGTTCGTGCCCGGAATGTCCGTTGACACGGAGGACACGTTGGAAGTGGTTGTACGTCGGCGTTGCGGACGGCGCGTGGCTGTGATTTGCGTGCGTCGCGTTTCACTTTGGCAGCAGCGATTCGGCTGGCCTCATAGATCGCAGCGCCTGTCATCACTTTCCTTCGCCAGGTCGGTCGGTCGGTCGGTCGAGGGCGAGCTCTTCCCAGTTGGTCGGGTTAATTTGCAGATGCTTCAGGGCGGACTTCAGAGTATCCTTGTATCGACGAATTTGGCCTCCTTGGCGGCGAGAGCTCGTGACGACGTCTCCGTAGAAGAGTCGTTTGGGTAGTCGCTCGTCGTCCATGCGCACCAGATGGCCGCTCCAACGCAGCTGCATTTGTCTCAGCATGGTGTAGATGCTGAGGATTCCCGTCCGTTCCAGCATATCAGTGTCGGGGATTCGATCCTGCCAGTTCACCTTCAGGATGCGACGAAGACAGCTAAGGTGAAAGTGATTCAGTCGACGGCGAGGGAGGAGGAGAGAGTGCAGGTAGATGCAGCGCAAGTCTACTGGCACTATAAACCCCCTGCGCAAGTCACCATCCCTGCTTCCACCGCTGCTGCAGCTGTGGGGCACACGGTGGACATCATCGAAATCGATGGTCGGACTGTCACCAGTTGTCGCCAGTCAGCCAGACCCTAGATTCGGTCCGGAGCGCCTTGGCTATTAAGCTATATCAGCGTTCTACCAGTGAGCTACAGGGTCATTGTCCTGCGGCTTTCTGATTAGGTGTACTAACTCTGGTGAGAAGCGCTCATCGATCAGATTACGACGGGACGTGCTGGCCCCTTTCCTGTTTTCGGACTCAGTCTAGGGCTCTCGCATGTAGTCGGATAGCGACTGCTGTGGTTCAGGCAGGTAAGGGGACAAGGGAGGAGTATACTGGCAACCGAAATGCATGGTTAAACTTTTTAATTAGTACCAGTGGTGTCAGTCGGTTGAATCATTCAACACTTGTGTACTGCATTCCATCTGTTGACCGTCTCTGTGATTATTGTGCGGTTATTCTGCTGAGGCTGATAGATTACAGTTCAAATATTCTTTCGCGCCAAGCCTAGGAAGCATTTGTCGCGCGCATTAATTTAGGAAATTAAAAAGTGAGGGAAACGCGTAGACAAGGGCTCTAGGTGGCTGGACAGTCTGGAGATAATATCGCACCTTGGAAATAACAGCGTCCTAAATTAGCGATTTTGTGTACTGATGCAAACGTAGCGTAGCCCGAGAGAGAGAGAGAGAGAGAGAGAGAGAGAGAGAGAGAGGACGATGACGTCATTGCGCGGTTTCCAGTGCCTGTCTGGGCTCCAGGGTGTGGCTGAAAACCAGGCGCAAATTGTGCAGACGGGCGCGCAGCGAATTCGGAAAATCCGCACACGGTGGTCAGACGGCGCAGGAACCAATGGCATCATCAGCACTAGTGTCGGCGACGAAGGCGACGACGACGACGACGACCTTGAAGCCAGAGAGAAGATTTACGAACAAGAGAATTTAACCTTGCGCAGCAGGCCCAGTCAGAAGTGCGCCCAGCGTGTGATTATAAGTAGAATCACACCTTACCTAGACCACATGCATTGTTGACACTTCATGGTTAAGAAGTCAGGTTCGACAGACGTAGGCTCTTGACTATTCATCATCGGATGGGGGGGGGCAGAGTGGAAAGGGTCTAAACAACCAATAAACAGTAAGAATGGAGAGCGAGTTCAGGACGTTCGGAGGTCAGGGGCATTACGGGCGGGGATGGGAGGGGAGGTATTTGGCAATTAGCTGAAGTGAGTGGCCGATCTCATGAAATGTTGGACGAAATTCTGAAATGCGTTTCCGACTAGGCACTATTACTTATGTGGGGTTGTAATACTGATCATTGTGCGGCATTATCCAATAGTATTTCGGACTCGCCAAGGTGTCGGCTTTTGAAATGCACTTCTCTTTGACCTCCTGCAGAAAGCACGCGCGGTAAGAAATGACTACTTAAGAAACATGCATTTTTCGCATTGATTTTCGATGGTCGTATAAATTCAAATATATGTTATAAAAAACATGCATAAAATACGATTTCTTCTTCTCGTTTGGTAAAAAATCAAATTTTTTGCACTTCTTACCCTAAAAAGGTTATCTTTTTGTTTTTAAAAAGTTTCCGATTGCGAGAATTTTTAAGACCGTTCAATATCCATTCACACTGCATCGTACCTTCCCCTTTACCAATGCTCCCCATGAAATGTACAACACAGTCCGCATCCATTGCAAAATTTTACGGAATCTATATGGTATCTTCTCAGAGGCATAGAGGAGTATATGATTTTCCTTGCGCGGAAAGCATGCACCCTATAGACTGAAATCACAAGACGCTAATGCAACGGCTGATCAGGCCCAAATTTATTCGGGAATTGGGAAAGTTTTTGAAAACCTCAATGGGCCTCATCTTTGGGTAGAAAATGTGAAGACAATTCGATTTTCCACCAAAGGAGTAAGAGAAAGCATATTCTGTGCATGTCTTCTATAAAATATATTAGAATTTATAAGACCATCGTAAATCAATGTGACAAATGCATTCTACTTGAGGAGTCATTCTTTATAGACGGTGATTTCCGTAAGAGGTCGAAAAGAAGTGCATTCCAAGAGTCGATATCTTGGCGAGTACGAAATACCACAGGATTATGCCGCATGCCGATCAATATTACAATCCCACCTAAGTAGTCCTTCCTAGTCGAAAACGCATTTCAGAACTTCGGGCAACATTTCGTGAGATCGGTTACGCACTGCACGTACAGGTCTGATGATCAATAATCAAAAACGTACGTTTGCCGAACTTTACTTCTTAAATACCTTATACTTACTTTAAAGGTCACATTGGCGGGGAAAAAGTAGTTCTTACTGCGAAAAGAATCTATAAAGTACCGGGGAACTATGCACTCATGGCGTCTTTAATGGCGTCTACGAAGCTCTCGTTTTGCCGGAAAATGAAAAACTATACTGCATTAGATTTGATGGATTCCAGACGTTGCAGTAGGCTGAGAGGGTGACTTTACCCAGATGTGATCAAGCTCACGGTTCCCGGAGGGGCCTCGTAGCTCAGGTGGCTATACAGTTGGTTGCACGAAAGCCTTCCCTTTGCTGCCATGGGTTCGAATCCCACTGAGATGCCAAGTTTTTTACAGTTGGGTCAACAACTTAGGAGCGGTTAAACGAGAATTCGCACAAATGCTAATTTGGCGATTAAACCGTGAATTTCCATTTCGGTCCTCTTACGGTAAAGAAATGAACACAGCCGTAGGTTTTCTTCAGTGTTCGAATTATTCCTAACGGTTGGCTACGAGAATTAGGATGCTTCGCATTGCTGGTTACCTTACGCTTAATTCTTAGAGGGGATCAACGTCAGCGTTAAGATTGGGACTAGGGTCAGCGTTTGGGGTTATAAAGATTGTGGTTATGTTACATAATTATTTACCGTACTGACAATACAGGTACTAGCTCAAAGCCCAGGCACGCGTGTCTCTCCGATTTTGTGTGGCTGTCCGATGTAGCTGCGCGGGGTTGGGCTCATCAGTACGTCCTCCAACCTTTCCCGTGTGTTTTCTGGTATTCAAACTCCAGTCTCACCTAGTCCTGTCTACTTTCCGAGGAGATTAATGAGCGAACTCGGAGGGATTTCTTCAAAACAGATCTTTGTAGGCACGGTCCGACAGTTGATATGAATATTTGGGCTGAATTTCACTAGCTACTGCGTAATAACCGCGTAATATTTACAATATTATTCACGGTTATTCTGCAGCAACTAATAAATTTCAGCTTAAATATTCATATCAGCTTCTGGATCGTGCCGAAAAAGGTGTGTTTCGAAGAATTTACTTAAAGTTCACGCATTAACCTTCTTGGAAATTAGACAGGGCATTGGGGTTATGCCTAGTGCTAGTGTTAAGAGGGCCAAGATTGGGATTAGAGTTAGGGTTAGGAAGGTCAGGATTTGGGTTACTGCTAGGAATAGGACAGTTAGGGCTAAAGTTAGCATTAGGGATAGGAAGGCTAGGATTGAGATTAGGGCTATTTTTGGGATAAGGAGGGTTATTGTTGGGGTTAGGGAGGTTAGTGTTAAGGCTAGTGCTAGGTTTGCAAGGGTAAAGAGTAGGACAAATGTTAGTGTTAAGGTTGGAGAGGTTGGTATTGGGGCCATGGTTAAGGTTAGTAGGGCTATAATTTGGATTAGCGTTGGGGTTAGGAAGGTTAGGAGGGAGTTAAAATTAGGGACAGAAAGGTTGGGTTTGGGGTTAGGTTAGCAGTAGGGTTAGGAAAGATGCGATTAGGATTGGGGTCAGTGCTAAGGCCGGAAAGTTTGGAACTGGGGTCAAGGTTAGTGTTAGAGGTAGGAAAGCCTGGATAGCTATTAGCGTTAGTGGTAGGGTCAGGAAGGGTGGGACTGGGGTGAGGTCTAGTGTCAGGGTTGAAGTTAGGACAGAGGAATGGGCACCCTTGGAGTTTGGGTCAGGATCAACTGTAGTACGACCAGTCTCTCTTCCCGTGCCCAACCTTCCAAATCTACTATCAAAATATACAGAAATTTTTTAACTAACAGTTGGTTTTTTGGCTACGGATATATGCGGTCGCGAGACAAAGGTGATAAATTCTAGTTGTATGGATTTTAATGGCCTGTCGGTCGGCAGGTAACAAGGGCTGAAATAAAACGCTGACTACAATGGAAGAGCATTTACTAATCGGTTTGTGGGACGCACTCGTCCATTTGTGCCTTGGGGCCCCGTCTATTGCCATCACCGGCAGTTGCATGGAGAACGGTAACGTATGGGAAGGAGGGAATACCAGTGCGTTCACTTTCAGATGCTACCACAGAAGTCTACGGGGTGCTTCCCAATTTTCTTCTTTTTAATCACCAGTGGGACTTTTCCTAAACCGATGTGACTGAGATAATTTTCCGCCGGCACTGCTTACTTAATTGACCCAAGTAGGCCATTTTGTTTCGTTTCACAAAAAATCGGTCAAAAGTTGAAACGTGGTTTGTGCTAGAAAGGAAAATCTAAATGGCCTGTTTATATTGAGTATCACGTGGTAAAATCTCAAGATGCTTAACTCATGCCAGGATGTTGGCTTTTGAATGCTCGTCTATTCGGGCGCTTTAAAAGTCACACTTAGCATAAGGAACAAGTAGGCAGTCCGAATTTGTTTAATTGATTTTCAAGGTCATTTAAATCCAGCATACTTTACAAAATAGAGCATAAAAATAAAATTTGCACTTATTTTGTAGTTAATAAACCTTTAACTTTTTGACGAAGGGATAACTGTGAAACGAATAAATTTGATCTCGACATGTCAGTTCATCTGTGTTTAGGGCTTTCAGATTGCAAGCTCTTTCCTTTCAATAAGGGAAGACATACATTCTTCTATGATATTAGGAAGACACCATAAAGGGCTTGCAAACTGCGGCGATGAAATATTCCATGTAGTATGCTTCATAAACGGTTCAAGTGAACGGACCAATACGACGCTATTTAAATAAAAATCTCACGGCCTTATCTAAAAATCTTTGTTAACCTGAAAAGTACCGTCCCTTCAAGTAAAAATTGAAGAAGCCATAATTTGTTGCATGAGAAGTACGAGAATGAACATCAAAAATCAGTAAAATAAATGCACGCCATTTAAGTAGTCATTTCACAGCGTGCGATTTCAGTGGATGGCTGAAAAGGCGGACATTTAAAAGACGGCATTCTTGTCAGATGGGCTTATTTTGTGATTCTTATATAACTCAAACTGCAGTGCAGTCCCACCCAAATAATTCTTTCTAACAGAGAGTTTATCTGGGAATTTCTATACCTGGCGTCCTGCCCAAAGGCCAGAGACTATCGGATAATCTCCCTGTCATCCTGACTCCTGTGCTGGTTATATATTTATGATGAATTATGTGATTTTATTACGGTGTTGGGCAACCGGGCATTAAGGAAAAAATTAGATGTTGAAATCCTCTAAGCGCAGCCGATTTGTCTGGAAATAATTGCTCGGCAGATAACAGTCCCCGGAAGGGAGGTCATCTTGCGCTTGCACGGTTTTTTACTACTTCGTTGTTTCATTAAGTCATTTATATTTTTATGATGAATCATGCGATCTTGTTACGGTTTTTCGCAGTGAAGCATTGAATAGGGCAGTCTTGAGGAAACAATTAGATGATTTTTCTAGAAATAATTGCCCAGCAGATAACATTCCTCAGCAAACGTGGTCCTCTTGCACTTTCCGAGGAAGCGTGCGCAATGTTTTAGTATTTCATTCTTTCACTAATGTATGCATGGTTTCAAAATGCCAGATGTTTTTTGTAAGTTGTTAAAATATTTAGACTACTTAACATCCGGGTTTCTTGAAGAATCAGGCTTGTTTTACCAGTACAGCGAATAGGCGCCGTGAAGGTGTCAGACCCAGAGAGCCGCGTCACGACCACTGCCTAGGTGCGCGGGTGATGCGTTGGGCCGCCAACAGGCGGACCATATTAAGACATGACTTACGTTGTTCGAACTGCTCACCCATAACAAACGTGGGAGTGTGGTGGTACGCCCAGGAGCAGTCTCTCGTCGCGCCAGCCCCTTGCTTCTCA